TCAAGGTGTGCCCATTGTCTGTCTGGCCACGCTGCAAGAAGAGAGGACACCTCCCACCACACACCGTGCCCTACGTTTATCCACCCCAGACGAAGGCGGGATCTCGACCGTCGCCATCGCGACACGGTCTCGTTGGCCATCCGAGGATCCGACGTGATCCCGGCCTTGCCTTGCAGGAGGAATTCTACAACGCAGTGGAATGCGGGCACACTCTCTCTCCCTCTCTCTGGTTGGTGCAACGAGGCCTTCGTCAACTCAGTGCTCCTCTACATGAATGTGTGTGTTTAACTTCTTTCGCACTGTACGTAGCCAGACATGATGAACAGAGGTGCGGGGGAATGACAAGAAAACTAAACACAAAAAGCAGTTCTAAAGAAATACGTTTTCGAGCTAGATTCAAAAGTGCGTAAGCTTCAGTGGCTTCCTAGTGATGTTGATCGTATTTATCAAAGGCAACTGCTGCATTTTAAGCAATTCTAACAATTCCTGTAAATGAGTGTTAGAATGAGTTTACTGTCACCATGATGCAGTGCCAGACTTCCCCGTGGAACGTGGAGTGTAACTTCGAGGACGAACCAACAGAGGTATGGAGAGAAAACATTTTTGACACTCCTGCGCTGAATCTTTAATAATGTCGTAAAGTGGCAAGCAACCAGGATAATAATGCTGTCACCTGTCCCTGTAACTTCCCTAGTGCCGTTTCGTCTAGATGTCAGAGAAGCCGGTGTTGCCCTAGGCGCTGGCTCAGCGGCAATACCTGTTTGTGAAAGGTTTGGCACTGGGAGTTGCAACACGACAACAGTGCACAGAACAAACACTACAGGGGAGACTAAACACAGCTTCAGCTGCGCACACGCGTTCACTGATCCACACACGTGGGGCGCCACGGTGGCGAGATGTTAAATAGCTCGCCTGGTATACAGGGGGTCGCGGGTTCGATCCTGACCCTGACGCTTCTATATTTGGAATTTGCACGTTCTTTCCGTGGTCGCGTGGATTTTTCTCCAGGTCCTCCGGTATTTTCCCTCCACATTTAGAAACGTGCGTTTATATGTATTTGTCTGCAATACATTCCCACGTGGTAAGCCACTTTCGTTGCGTTATCATTTGTGGTAAGGTCGCTTCTGAAAAAAAGAGCTATACAGCTCAGTGGACCTTACCTGCCAGAATAAAAAGTTTAGTTTAGTTTTTCGCTCACATATCAGGATCATGCCATTCGCAGACAACAGCAGCCGCCATTTGCCATGAAGTGGCAGTTACATCACCGCAGTGCTTGTGCCATACTAGGTGCACTTTGAGGCCATGTGACGTGTCGAAGACTTTCTGGCAGGAAGTCACGGGACAGACCCAGATGCCATCGGTTGACCGAGGTGACTGGTAGATGCACCACCTGTGCTCCGCACTGTGCCAACTTGCTCAATTTTAGCAGTCCGGCACTCCGCTCGTTGTTGTGAGCGTCACTCATCTGCCCTCCGCTGTTGTTGGAGGGTGACTTCTTCAAACTATCCAGTATCCTCCTTCACGAGCCTCTTCCATAGTGGCCTATCTTGACACCACTGGTACCAGTCTTCGGTAAATCCACTAAGCTCCATATCCTCCTGTACCGCATCAGCCCATCTCTTCTCTAGCCAGTGCAGCGTTCGTTTAGCCCCCGATAACCGACCAAACAGAAGCTGCTTGGGCATGCGGTGGCTGGGCATGTAGGCTACATGACCCAGCCAGTGCAGCCTCGATTGCCGGAGGAGCTCACCGATGGGACTATTCTCAGAACTCTCAAGGATCTGTGAGCCCACACAATCCTGCATGCACGCGCACGCACACACACCGGCACTGCACGACCAATGCCTGACAAACACAAAAGCGTGGATACAAACACATGGATACATGTACAGACCTTCTGTCGGTCCACTGCTGGATGAGGGCCACCTCACTCCATGCGGATCATGTGTTGGGTCATAGAAGTACAGTACAACAATGTTTTTTTCTTCCGCACTGCCTCCTGCTGCGCAAAAAAGGTAGCGCAGCCTCGCAGCCACCTAAGACAACCTGGAATGCATGGCGGTCACCCACCCAAGTGCTGTCCAGGGTCAAATCTGCTCCGTTTCCAAGATCGGATGAGATTGGGCGCATTCCGGGTGATTTCGTTAAAGCCAAAGACGTGCCCCTATGGAGCGTGAGCTGCGGTGCGCATTTGGCTCTGACACACAAAAAGGAGTAAAAGCAGGCGCGCTGCCAGTTGTGTTATGTCAGCCAGATGCATGCTATGGGAGGCCGGAGATAACGCAGAGCACCGAGCACTGACCGGGCAAGAAAGCTACTCACCACCTAGACCAGGGCTGGGGAAACATCTCCTTACTGGGGGCTGGAAAGGACTTTCTCATATCTGTGGGGCATTGCGCATTAACACACCCCTTGATAATTAAGCACTAATCACGAGGAAAATAACGTGCACGTCGACCGAGTAAAGGATCCCTTGCAGTGATGGAAGTGACCAGTGCGCTGTAATTAGAAACACACTGTTGCCAGGTCGAAAATATCCTCCTCCAGTACCCGATGAGTGTGGCTGAGATGCAGTGACAACTATCGTTTGTGGGCAGTTTCAAATTGGTCGGCTCCATGTTGCCACGGGCCGTGTGAAACGAGGCCGTAGGTTCACCCACCACGAACCTCAATTATACCAAGTACCCATCACACAGCACACACCCACCATCAAGTACCCATCACACAACACAGACTCACCACCAATGACCCATCACACAACACAGACCCACCACCAATGATCCATCACACATCACAGACCCACCACCAAGTACCCACCACACAGCGCTGACCCACCACCAAGAACCCACCACACATCACAGACCCACCACCAAATACCCATCACACATCACAGACCCACCACCAAGTACCCATCACACATCACAGACCCACCACCAAGTACCCATCACACATCACAGACCCACCACCAAGTACCCATCACACAGCACAGACCCATTAACAATGACCCATCACACAGCACAGACCCACCAACAATGACCCATCACACAGCACTGACCCACCACCAATCTTAACCACCCATATCAATCTCAAATCGACCAACCAGCATCAACCGCCTCTCGGCAAAGTGACTCAAAACGCTGAATGATCAGCAGCTAGCAGCCTCCCAAAACCGGGAAACCCATTATGGGTCCATTCAGGACCCAGCGCCCAACCGGTACCCAGAGCTCATCAGCAACCAGCACCCGCAGAGCACCTCGCAGTCTTCCACCAAGCACCTACGCAGGACCTCTCGGCAGCGAATAACACCCAGTTGTCCACCTGCTGCCCAGCACGGCAGACGCGGCGACATCCTTCCGCACCAATGAACGATGAAGAGCATCCCATAGTGCGACTGGGGTCACAAATCTCCAAGCGTGGAGCACACAATGACTCGACTTGTCCACTTCCATCATTCGCCGGCAGAGTTTCACGCGGTCAGCAGGCTACTGGTGAAGCCGTCCACTGGCTCACTCATTAACCTCCACGTGAACATATGAATGCTGAAAATCCACTTCCACTCACAAGCACACACACACACCACTCACAACCACACACACACATCACTCACAACCACACACACACATCACTCACAACCACACACACACATCACTCACAACCACACACACACATCACTCACTACCACACACACACATCACTCACTATCACACACACACATCACTCACTACCACACACACATCACTCACAAACACACATCACTCACAAACACACATCACTCACTACCACACACACACACACACATCACTCACAACCACACACATCACTCACTACCACACACACACATCACTCACTACCACACACACATCACTCACAACCACACACACACACATCACTCACAACCACACACACACACATCACTCACAACCACACACACACACATCACTCACTACCACACACACACATCACTCACAACCACACACACACATCACTCACTACCACACACACACATCACTCACTATCACACACACATCACTCACTACCACACACACATCACTCACAAACACACATCACTCACAAACACACATCACTCACTACCACACACACACACATCACTCACAACCACACACATCACTCACTACCACACACACACATCACTCACTACCACACACACATCACTCACAACCACACACACACACATCACTCACAACCACACACACACATCACTCACAACCACACACACACACATCACTCACTACCACACACACACATCACTCACAACCACACACACACATCACTCACAACCACACACATCACTCACTACCACACACACACACACATCACTCACAACCACACACACACATCACTCACTACCACACACACACATCACTCACTACCACACACATCACTCACTACCACACACACACACATCACTCACTACCACACACATCACTCACTACCACACACACACATCACTCACACACACCACTAACAACACACACACACCACTCACACACCACTCACACCACTAACAACACACACACCACTCACACACCACTCACACCACTAACAACACACACACCACTCACACACAACAACACACTCACACACAACACACACAACAACACACACAACAACACACACAACACACACACAACAACACACACACACAACACACACACCACACACACACAACACACACACAACAACACACACACAACACACACACACACAACAACACACACACAACAACACACACACACAACAACACACACAACAACACACACACAACAACACACACAACAACACACACAGAACAACACACACAACAACACACACAACACAACAACACACACACAACACAACAACACACACACAACAACACACACAACAACACACACACACAACACACACGCACAACAACACACACACACAACAACACACACACACGTCACTCACTACCTCGCAGCTCAACTCTCCCTCCTCTCGCGTCCTTCGGGCCTCACCTCTCTTGTTGAGAGGCCGCACCCGCACCGCCACCTTCACCTTGGAGTCCGACATGGCCGAGATCGCCTCCTCCTCCTCGCCGCCGCAGAGCCCTGCAGCCCGCCTCTACCTCCGGCGGCGCATGGAGACGCGGCGGGCCCCCCTCCTCCTCCTCTCTCTCCCCACGCTCGCTACTCACAGCCCCCCCTAACACAACCCGCGCCCTCCACTCAACACCTGCAGACTGTGGACTCACACCTGTAGGAGCGCGCCCGCCTCACCGGCTCGCGATAACCCCCCCCACCCCCTCCTAAACCCCACCCCCTCCTACAACCACGCCCCCTTTTCCCTCGCGCCCCGCCCCCTCCACTTGTCTCGCCCCGCCCCGCCTTGACACGCGCCTGCCGGAACTGCCTCACCGGCTCGCGATAACCCCTCCCCCTCCTAAACCCCCTCCTCCTCCAACCACCCCCCCCCACCTAACCGCGCCCCTCCTCCAACCCCGCCCCCTTTGCCTCCCGCCCCCTCCACTTGTCTCGCCCCGCCCCGCCTCGTCACGCGCCTGCCGGAAATGCCTCACCGGCTCGCGATAACCCCTCCCCCTCCCTAAACCCCCTCCTCCTGCAACCACCCCCACCTGACCACGACCCCGCCTCCAACCCCGGCCCCCGCCCCCTTTCCCTCCCGTCCCGCCCCCTCCACTTGTCTCGCCCCGCCCCGCCTCGTCACGCGCCTGCCGGAAAATGTCCCGCGCGAGCGCCCGCGGAGGCGGGGGGGTTGGTAGGGGGGACGAGAAAGCCCCGCCTCTACCAACCTCCCCCCGCCCCCCTTTTCTCCCCCCTCCCTTCGCCCTCCCCTCCAAGCCACCCCGGCAAGCCCATTGGCTGGGAGCGCGCGCCCCCACGTGACCGTGTCCCACCGCACCCACTCGGCCGGTGACGGTGATGATGGCTGCTGTGATTCTCAAGCGAGGTCCACATCGCCATCACCATCGTCATCCATCCCTGCCGTTGACGTTGTGTCCTTGCCCGGGCACGCCGAGGAGAGGTTTGCCGAGCCCCAATGTGGGTTACGGACACGGATCGGCGCATGCCCACACGCCATATTCTCCGTCCGCCTGCTCACACAGCAGCGGTGTCTAAAGAATATCAACTGAACCCGACATCTCTTGCTTTACCGACTTGGCTAAGGTCTATGGGTACCGTCAGTCGGCAAGGGCTCAAGGTTGTTGTTATTCGTGCTTTCTGGGTCCCTGACCCACTGCTCACAATAATTGAGGACTTTCATGAGGTGCGCGGGACCGGTTAAGGGGCCGTCCATAAATGACGTCACGCACCTAGGGGGTGGGGGGTGGTCAAACATTTGTGACGATGTGTGACAAGGGGGGGGGGGGGGTGACAAATGTGACGTCACATCAAAATGCGCAACTTTTAATAAATATAGACAACACGTTCTACTTAAATAAACTTTTTAATAAATGTGTTCTCCTACAACATCGGAGTGCAGCGCCACATTAAATACGCACTACAATGACAATAGTTTAAAGCGATTTGAAGCACGTTTCATTTTCAAAATGTAAATAAGGGTTTTTTGGGGGGGGGGGCAGAGCTTTGTGACGTCATATTTGAGGGGGGGGTCTGATTTTTTGTGACGCCGTGTGACGTCAGGGAGTCTGAGACATTCCCTGTTCACCTCGGCACTGCGACAGGGATGCTCTCCGACTCTTACATTGGCACCTGGTTATGTCCCATGATCTGCCGGCAAGCCTTCGATAACTTTACATGGCCTCAAGGTGCACCTAGCCTGGCACAAGCATCGTGGTGACGTCAACACGAACTAGTGTCAAACGGAAATCTCTGTGTCTCTGTATCCCTGAGCGTCCCTGAACCTCCATCTCTGTTGCTCATGCAGGGCTTAGGACGATTCGCACGGTTGGCAAAGTGCGGTGTGAAAGAAGTTCAACAAACGTACAACAGACGCGTTGGTCCTGCGAGGAGAAAAAACCGGTCTAGAGTTGTGGTTTTTGTTTCACCGCTGCCCGTTGACATGGACACACTCCCTGAACATTATTGACATAGACACACTCCCTGAACATTATTGACATGGACACACTCCCTGAACATTATTTGACATGGACACAATTCCTGCACATTGACATGGACACACTCCCTGAACATTATTGACATGGACACACTCCCTGAACATTATTGACATGGACACACTCCCTGAACATTATTCACATGGACACACTCCCTGAACATTATTGACATGGACACACTCCCTGAACATTATTTGACATGGACACACTCCCTGAACATTATTGACATGGACACACTCCCTGAACATTATTGACATGGACACACTCCCTGAACATTATTGACATGGACACACTCCCTGAACATTATTGACATGGACACACTCCCTGAACATTATTGACATGGACACACTCCCTGAACATTATTGACATGGACACACTCGCTGAACATTATTGACATGGACACACTCCCTGAACATTATTGACATGGACACACTCCCTGAACATTATTGACATGGACACACTCCCTGAACATTATTGACATGGACACACTCCCTGAACATTAGTGACATGGACACACTCTCTGAACATTATTGACATGGACACACTCCCTGAACATTAGTGACATGGACACACTTCCTGAACATTATTGACACGGACACACTTCCTGAACATTATTTACATGGACACACTTCCTGAACATTATTGACTTGGACACACTCCCTGCACATTATTGACATGGACACACTCTCTGAACATTATTGACATGGACACACTCCCTGCACATTATTGACATGGACACACTCCCTGAACATTATTGATATGGACACACTCCCTGAACATTAGTGACATGGACACACTCCCTGAACATTATTGACATGGACACACTTCCTGAACATTATTTACATGGACACACTTCCTGAACATTATTGACATGGACACACTCCCTGCACATTATTGACATGGACACACTCCCTGCACATTATTGACATGGACACACTCCCTGAACATTATTGACATGGACACACTCCCTGAACATTATTGACATGGACACACTCCCTGAACATTATTGACATGGACACACTCTGAACATTATTGACATGGACACACTCCCTGCACATTATTGACATGGACACACTCTCTGAACATTATTGACATGGACACACTCCCTGCACATTATTGACATGGACACACTCCCTGAACATTATTGACATGGACACACTCTCTGAACATTATTGACATGGACACACTCCCTGAACATATTGACATGGACACACTCCCTGAACATTATTGACATGGACACACTTCCTGAACATTATTGACATAACTTGACTGCCATTTAGGAAGTGTCTCATAACTTGACTAGAATTTAGGAAGTGTCTTATAACTTTACTGGCATTTAGGAAGTGTCTTATAGCTTGACTGGCATTAGGAAGTGTCCGATAGCTTGACTGGAATTAAGGAAGTGTCCAATAGCTTTACTGGCATAATGGACGTGTCTGATAGCTTGACTGGCATTTAGGAAGTGTCCGATAGCTTGACTGGCATTTAGGAAGTGCCCGATAGCTTTACTGGCATTTAGGAAGTGTCCGATAGCTTGACTGGCATTGAGGAAGTGTCTTATAGCTTGACTGGAATTTAGGAAGTGTCTTATACCTTGACTGGCATTTAGGAAGTGCCTTATAGCTTGACTGGCATTTAGGAAGTGTCTTCTAACTTTATTGGCATTTAGGAAGTGTCTTATAGCTTCACTGGCATTTATGAAGTGTCTAATAGCTTGACTAGCATTTAGAAAGTGCCCAATAGCTTGACTGGCATTTAGGATGTGTCCGATAGCTTGACTGGAATTTAGGAAGTGTCTCATGACTTTACTGGAATACAGGAAGTGTCATAACTTGACTGGCATTTACGAAGTATCTTATAACTTGACTGGCTTTAGGAAGTGCCTTATATCTTGACTGGCATTTAGGAAGTGTCCGATATCTTGACTGGCATTTAGGAAGTGCCTTATAACTTGACTGGAATTTAGGAAGTGTCTTATAGCTTGACTGTCATTTAATAAGTGTCTGATAGCTTTACTGGAATTTAGGAAGTGTCTTATAACTTGATTGGTATTTAGGAAGTGTCTTATAGCTTGACTGTTATTTAGGAAGTTCCAATATCTTGACTGGCATTTAGGAAGTGTCCGATAGTCTGACTGTAAGTTAGGAAGTGTCCGATTGCTTGTCTGCCTTTTAGGAAGTGTCCAATAGCTTGACTGGAATTTAGGAAGTGTCTTATAGCTTGACTAGCATTTCAGAAGTTCCCGATAGCTTGACTGGCATTTAGGAAGTGTCCGATTGCCTGACTTCAATGATCAGATCGCTCAGGGGATCAACAGCATGCCCTCGTACTGAGCCAGTACCGCCCACCGAGATCGATTTTCAATTCGAATCTTAGCAAGCACTTGCGGTTAAATGGGGCTCTCAAAGTGTAGCGAGTTGGCCTCAGACCAGCCGCCAGTGACCACATAAACATTGTTTTGGGCTTGTCCCTTTATTTGGCAGATTCCAGCTCTGATGATCAAAACTTTAGGCTATCGACTTGACCTTTTCCCCAGAGTATATGATCTGCACATCTTATATAGCGCTTAATAAGGACAGGGTATAGGGAGGGAGGTTACTGAGTAAGGGAATTACGGGGGTACGTAAAAATAGAGAGGATGGGTCAGGGAGAAGAGGTGGGTCTCGAGTGAGGAGCCGAAACTAGACGGGGAGGGTGCTTGCTTAATGTGGAGGGGAAGGTTGTGTCAGAGAGATGGGCCAATTGAAGGGATTGAAGTTGTGAGACGTCTCCAAGGCCATTCTGATAAAAAAAACGGTGCACTGATCTGCGAGTTGTAAATACAAATTCGGTCTCATCACATCATTAGTATGTTGGACTATAATTGGGAGGAAAAATAATTTATGTATTTTACACCAAACTTTGCAATCTTGACCCAGTATTTATTTTTATGTACATTGTGAATGTGCGCGTTTAGGCAACAGCAACTAAGAGTAAAACATTTTTATTGGTTACCCGTGAACATTTTTGCAGAATGCCACTTGATGTTATGAATCGGACGTCTTCTAAGCCAAGGGAAATCGGAGCGGTGAGTGAGCTGGGGGTGTCCAAGCCCATGACCTCATCTTCTATCCAAACAAGTCTCAAAATCCATCACCGGCATTAAAAACCCGATGTCAAAGTGCCATAATTTCAGCTCGTTACCTGTATAAAAGACACCTGGTTGCCAGAAATCTGATTGAGAAGGGGTCAAATACTTTATTTCCCCCATTAAAATGCAAATAAATTTATAACATTTCTGACATGCGTTTTTCTGGATTTTTTTGTTATTATTCTGTCTCTCACTGTTCAAATAAACCTACCATTAAAATTATAGACTGATCATTTCTTTGTCAGTGGGCAAACGTACAAAATCAGCAGGGGATCAAATACTTTTTTCCCCCTCACTGTAGCTTCGTGGGCCTTACCTGATCCAAGTAAAAAGCTCAGCTGAAAAAAAATATTCTTCTGTATTGCAACTGCGAATTCACAATTCCAGGAATTCCTGAAAGGGCGACTCTCGAGCAAGGGTTGTCAACCAAAATACCAAGACGAGGCATTCGTTTTAGAATTTGGTAAACTGAATATAATGCAACACGTGGATACGGAGACGGTGGTCCTCAATAAATAACGTCACGAAGGAGCAGTCCTGAAAAGATCCCACCACATGCCGCTCCGGAGCCGCAGGTTGCCGATCCCTGGGGCTTTGCCGGGTGCTGTGTAGGCATGGCGCTGCAGGGTGTGGCCACGAAATGACGAGAGCTGAGAATCACATCCACGTAGGGGTTCGTGGGGGTTTCTCCATTCGTTTATTGGCATTGGCTGAACATCCCAATGCAGCATCCTCCTAAAGAGCCTTGAGACTCAGCGAGGCTTGCAACGTAAAATATTTGGGATGACTTTCATTACAATACACATATGGCATAATGTCTATTTATTGCAGAAATGACAATTGGGAAAAAAAAAATTGCAAAAGACCACGAAGCAGTGCAATGTAAAACAATAATCTTTATAACCACCAATTATGAAATCATTTCCCAACTTTCATCGAAATTCAAGCGATCCCTCCGAGCGAACGTTTTCAATGACACCAGCAACTGGCGTTGCTAAATGCTCACTTCAAGTCCCTCGATTGGCATTCACCGGTCACACCAAATAATTGTACGCAGTTTGATCCGAAGTAAAGCCATCAATCCTGGCTCGAATCCCAAATCCGAGAGAACATTCCATTAAAAAACAAGACCTTGGCACAAACCACAGTGGCATCGTTCGTCTGAGTAATCCAACGCACTCGGACCATCTTCGTTAGAGATTTTGAAAAATCATGAGATGCTTCTGCGAGGTACAAAAGTGGCAAAGAGAGTTGTTGGGGCGTCCGCCTGGCTGCTTGCAATCTTGGCTCAAGTGACGTTGGGTCAGATCTGAAACCTTGAAGAAGCGGCCGATTCAGATCTTCCCCACCCCCCCCCCCCCCCCCCCAAATAAGACTTTCTTGTAGATTATCAGCTTTTGTTGCAGAGCACAACACAAGCGTAACCTCTAAAACCGTAAGGGGCACAACATGACGTGAACCTGACCCAATAACACCGTAAAACACTGCCGCCAATTAATTTCTGTTAAAAAAAAGGAAAAAGCCGACCTGAAAATTAAAAGAAAAAGTTAAACAATTCCCCTCGCACGTGTCATACGCTGACACCAATGTTCTCCGCCACGGCAGATATTCCATGAAAGCACAACATCCTCGCGATGCGACTGGAACAGCTCGTAATTATATGTAAAAAAACCAATTTCAAACACTAACACAGGTGGCCGCACAGGGGGAAAGGCTTCGCATGTCGTGACATTCCCTGCGCAGACCCCAAATTTCGACACGTTTCTCACAGCGACGCGTTCCACTAAATTTCGTTTTATAGCGTTCCACTAAGTTCGCACGAACTCGGCGGCATCTGAACATTTTGGTTAAATTGCACGCTTGCAAACCTGCAAACTTTTTTCCCACATACACAACTATGGCATATTGCTGGAGCAGCCCTCGGATGCATATTCCCAGCGGAGGGTTCTCGGGTAGAGGCGGCGTCTCAAATAACCGGGAGGGGAAGACATTGGAGGCTCGCGTAAGAGCCACTCTAGCCTCGGTAGAAGAGGAGCGTTGGGGTCAAACCTCTACTACTACACCCACACACACGGGGAAGGATCAACAGGATGGCGCTCACAATTTACTCCGTCACCGAGAGCTGTTAAGGGACAGTGACGGTTCTCACTTTACCACCGCATAGCACGGGCGCCGATGGCCAAGTGTCTGATAACTGGGCCAGGGGGTGATGATGGGGGGGGAGAGGTTTGTTGGATTAGCTGTCCAGCGAGTGGCTCGGTGATTGTGTGGGGTGCATTCCGGGTGGAGAATGATGCTAACAAGAGGAGGCCATCACGGTATACGTGTGGCTTTTCCACTGGCTATTAGCAGGAAACAAATTGGGATAAGCTGGCCTCACAAGGCATCCGAATCTGGCTCGGGCCAAGCAGGGCCAGTGGGCAGGGAGGCGGGGGGGGTCGGGCAGCTAATGACTCATTCAACTCGTCCACGGTATCGCTCAGCTCCTGCAATGGAAAAAAACATCCTGGCACGTCACGAGCACCGGGTTGTCTCGACACGGCACCGCTGCGCTTTCAGATGCGCTTCTGCGGCCGTCTGGAACGCTCTTCCTTCCGACATTAGGAAGCCACTGGAGCTATGCACTTTTAAATCAAGATCCAGATTGACAAACTCACTCTGCTTTTTGCCTTTAGTTTGTTGTCCTTCCACCAGCCCGCACCTCCGATGAGCACAGTTGGCTGTGCACGGTGCGAAAGAAGTTCAACGTACATACATACATAACGGTTCGGACGTGCCAGAGAACAAGAGGTAAAAAAAGGCTCTCTCCACATGGCTGCAGGTCCAATTCCGAGGCTCTGGCGCGAATAGCCCCGCAGGAATTTGGCTACTGCACGGGCACTTGTCGGACACGCACTCAAAACGATGACAATCACGGCTACAGTTACCTCCCGTCGTCGGGGTCGGGGGGCGGGAGGGCGGGGTTCGGCGAGGGTGTGGTTCAGCGGGCAAACACCGCTCGCGGCTCCGGCGATGGCGGATTGGCGGTACCGAAACTGCATGGGAGCCACGCATTGCGGTAAACGCGAGCACCGTGGCAGCGAATCGCGGGGATGCGGTGCGCAACGCGGTTACCGCCGCGTACGAATGGGACGCGAGCGCGCGCGCGGTATTTTATTGCGACGCGTTGTGCTTTTTTTCCGGGGGCGTGGCAAAAAAGACAATCATTCACTCCCGCCGGGTCTCTGCTCCACGCCTTCACCGGACCCCCGCACTGACCAGCGTGGGCGGAGCACGGTCAGACCACTCCCCCACCCCCTACCCCCCCCAACCCCCCCCACCGCGGCAGAGCGGCGACCGCCCCGACCGCAGTGGCCGATGGGGGCAAACGTCACCGCGCGTCGCTCTCTCGCTCTCTCGCGGGTCACGAGCGCGCCACCACCAGCACGGTGTGCTGCCCCCCGCTGGAGGCGGCCAGCACCCGCACCCCCTCAAGCTGCTTCCCCTCCATGCGCTCGGGGCTCCAGGCGTCCTCGTCGTCGGCGCGGCCCAGCTGGTGGTTCGTGCCCATCCCCCACGCGTACACGGAACCTGCAGAGGGGCGCACAGCCCAAAAGGGGGGGACACGTTCGAACGCGGCGCCGTTCACACCAAGGCAAGGCTCCCGCGTTTGGCCTCAGCGGACTGCTGGGGAGAGCGCCGTTTAGCGAGCAGCACCGACGAAGGCCGGCAGGGCGCACACGAGGGGGCGGATGGCCAGCAGCACGCTGGGCCGCCTTTGTCTCCCCCAGTGGCGACGTTTACACACCGCACCGGGTACTTATTTGAGGCCGAGTTGACCTAGGGGAGGCCCAAGACCGGTTCAGATAATCGCTATTACTGGTGTTGGCCGTGAGCAGGAATCGAACTCGGGTGACCAGGTTCGTAGTGCAGCGCGCCAACCGCTACACACTACCGCTCCCCACGTTTATACAACGACGACAACAACCGCCATTCGCCACTAAGTGGCGGTGACGTCACCACGACGCTTACACACACACAGACGCGCACGTGCGCCACCGTCCTGCCCTGGCAGCGCAGGGACAGCGTCGAGGGCGAGCGGTAGCAGGTTTTTCCGCTTTTGTTGCCAAGGTTCACGGTTCGTCACCCGCGGCCCGCCCTGCCTACAACGCCGGGTGTGTAAACCGTACAACGGGTACGCTCACCATCTGCTTTCACAGTCGACGTTAAAGGTAAGTTGGCCTTCAATGGGCAGCCACCATTGATAACAAGGTTGGGAACCACTGGAATAAACGAAAACCAACGAGAACCAGGACGTGGCTACAATTCCACAGCCAGTCGTCGACGAGACGACAACAACCGTGAATAAAATGCAATAATTCGGACCGAATCGGCGCTGCGTGAGACCAGTCCAGAGAAGCCACCTCAGCCAAACGCTGCACTGCTAGCCACCAGCACGATCACGCGAAAAGGAGACGCGAGGAGGGAACAAAAGAGGCAAAATGCATGGGGAGGGAACACGAGGGGCAACGTATGACGGGAGAACACGCACGAGAGGGGAACACACGAGGGGCCAAAGGAGCGAACACGCGTGAGGAGGGAACAGGAGGGGGGGGGTAACGAACGACGGAGGGTAACGCTCACCGTCCTTGGTGACGGCGTAGCTGACGCTAGCGCCGCACGCCACGGAGAGCGCGGGGCCGAGCCCCGGCACGAGCATCGGCTCCATGGCCTCTGCCGCGCCCTCCCCGAGGCCCAAGCGGCCGTAGTCGGCTCGGCCCACGCTGTAGACGCGGCCTGCGGTGGGAGGGGAAACGCACGGGCGGAGAGCCGATCACGGGACAGTGGGAAAACGTATTTAATAGAGGCAGTCGGTCATAGTTCCTTATGGGGGGGTGCTAAAAGGTCTCTCTGCGAGTGCATACATCACCACCGGTTGTTTTATTGATATAGCCTCCACATGCTGGCACATTTCAAGATGCCGGATAAAAGGCAGCAGTCCGTCATACGTAGAGGGGAAAAAAGGCCTTGAGCCTAGACTAGAACAGGGGCAACACGTGAGTTCCAGACTAAGATGTTGAACTTCGTTCGCACCATACGTAGCAAAAGCGTGCCAATCGGAGGTGCAGATCGTGCCAATCGGAGGTGCAGATCGTGCGAATCGGAGGTGCAGATCGTGCCAATCGGAGGTGCAGATCGTGCGAATCGGAGGTGCAGATCGTGCCAATCGGAGGTGCAGATCGTGTCAATCGGAGGTGCAGATCGTGTCAATCGGAGGTGCAGATCGTGTCAATCGGAGGTGCAGATCGTGCCAATCGGAGGTGCAGATCGTGTCAATCGGAGGTGCAGATCGTGTCAATCGGAGGTGCAGATCGTGCCAATCGGAGGTGCAGATCGTGCCAATCGGAGGTGCCATGTGAGGGCAGCATAACAGAATGAGCGATGTCCCACTGACAGAATGGTTGACTGGGAAGCCTCAACAGAAGCCCTCGGTTCCTGCAGCGGAGAGTGCACGGAGGGAGTAGAGCGAGCCGAGACGGGAGGGGGGGTAGCGGTGAGGCCGTGGAGAGGATCAGGCGCGAGGCAGTCCTAGTTCAGTACCGTATTGTAGAGCCGCTACTGTGGCTCTACAATACGGCACTGGGTTGCATCTTCCACAATTGCCTTGTTTGAACATTTCTGGTGATTTCAGTGGGTTTTATATTTACCTTTTATATCACCTTCATAGCAAACACATATATAGTATGTTATATCGTGTAAACGTCAATAGATATACGATCACAAGCTGTAAATAGATTCAATTTCCTCTTATGTGAAAATGGGGTTTTATTGGGAAAAATGCAACTTCGTAGCAGTGGCAGACCATAGGAAGGGGGGGGGGGGGGGGAAGAGTCAAGGATTTAATGGATGGGAAAAATAAATGGGAAACGGAAGAGAAAGGATAAATAATGGGAGAGGAAAAGGAGCAGAGGAACTGGAGCAAAGGGTCAGAGAGAGAGATGAGGGTCGGAAGGACGAGGCTACACGAGGGCCTCGACACCGCCGCACGGAGCAGCAGCGGTGACCGTTTCCACAGTGGGCGGTGAGGAGAGGGGGCGGCCGCTCGGCAGTCACGTGACATTTATGGGAGGCGTGAGCCAATTCAGAGAGATAAAGTAGAGCCCCTCTTAACGACCACCCTTGTTAACGACTAATCGCTTAACGGGCCTCCGTAGAGCCCAATGTGAAGTGTATAGTGTAGTGTATAGTAGTGTACTGTATAGTATAGTGTAGACAATAGTAGTGTAGTGTATAGTTGTGTAGTGTATAGTGTAGTGTATAGTAGTGTAGTGCCTCCATAGAGCCCAATGTGTTCACTTACCAACCATTCCCCTGTTAACGACGGGCTGTTGTAGGTACAGCAAATAATGAACGCATTAATTAACCATGTCTCTTTTAATATTCTGTTTATCATGTTGTTAGTATCGGCATGTATTAATAGCCATTGTTTAAATATTATAAAGTACGTTTTTTGGGTGAAAAAGGGTAACTTTCGATGCAGCCGGAACTAATTAAGAAGCCCTTTAATGTGAATTTCCTATACTCGCTTAATGACCAAATCACTTAACGACCGGTCTCGTGGAACCAATTAACGTCGTTCAGTGGGGTTCTACTGTATAGACGGACAGACCGAGGGAGGCCCCCCCCCGCCCGGTGTTTGAAGGATCCGCGGCCAGCACCTTCCGAGTCGAGGCAGAGCGAGTGATGTTGCCCTCCGGCCAAGTGGCTCCATTTGTTGGTGGAGTTTTTGAACGCGGCGAGCAGCTTCGGCACAAAGAGGCACTTGGTGCTGAGGGTTCCTGCAGAGGGAGGGGGGGGGGGGGGCAAACGCACGCGCGTTGGTACTTTGCGAAACGCGACGATGCGCTCCGTTAGTCGGGCAGAGCGGCGACTGAACGGATAGTGCGGTGTGGAAAGGGCATCAAGTCTGCACACACTATATTACAGCATCCCCCTCCCCCAGAGATAGCGATTAACGATGCAGCCTACGCAGGACGGTTGCCTTAACAAAGTGGCGAAAACGTGACATATCATGCGCACGCCTGTCAAGCCCTTATCAGTGCCCCTACCTTATTACAGACCAACTCAGACCTTATTGGTCACCCCGTGCCCCTTATGAATCTCAACGTTCATCCTACAAAGTCCCATCGCAAGGGAGAAACACAAACAAATCGACAAAAGAACATTTGCCCGTATTGAAACGGCTGTACGCCGTATGGACCTGAAAACTGAATTTCCCTGAACAAGAATATTGGTAAACCGTGTGGACTGACAGCTACGAGTAGGAAATAAAGTTAACGATAACCATGTCGGCAGCTTTGCTAAATATAATCGCGCTTTATGTCACATTTATGTTATTTCCTGACTAAATATTTGTGAATGACAAATATCAAAAAACAGTTATAAACAGCTCCATTATCAGAAACTATTTATCCTGGAGAAATCCGATGAGCTATGAAGCTCTTTTGTTCACAACTGTCCAGCAGGGGTGAGTCATTAAGTGTTGGCAGACTGCTAGCCTACACAGATGGTATCATGGAGAATGTGTGAGTTGCCTATATGTGTGCGAGTGTTGTTCCCCGTTAGGATTTTAATTAACTACAGGCGCCCCCTTGCATAACGCGCGACATGCATTCCTGGCAAACAGCGCTCAAGTTGAATCACGCTGGATGATGCCTATGTTCCCACAGACATACATGTTATACGGGGGAGTGCGTTACCGAACAAAATTAAGTATCATTACAATAAATTTTGATTTAAAGCTTTCGTGACTGCAGGGATTCATATTCTTGGTTCTTTCGGTAAAGTCACGTAGAAGGGAAACAAAATATTTATATTTTTTATTATTTTATTGTTTCCCTTCTACGTGACTTTACCGAAAGAACCAAGAATATCATTACATTACTTCAACCCTGGATTTACAAAATGCATATAAATTCATACTTAATAACATTATGAACATTACAAAAATTACTTCACAATGAGTTTAATAACAAATAATAATAAAAAAAAGATAACAAAATTTATACGTACAAAGATTACTTCGTAATTAGTGACTTCAGGATCTTCCTGAATGCGTCCGTGAGCTGCTGGGCACTGCCTTTGACGCGGCGGTGACGCCATCAGAAATACTTTGCTGCTTTTAATTTTCATCATTGAAATTAATAGTTGATTTAGAAAAATGTAAATGTTACGCATTTTTATTTTTTTTCCTGAGCGCGTAACTGTGAAGTGCACGGCGTGAGTGTAAAAAAGTATGTCCCTAAAAGATAAATCGCGGAATTGCGAATTCACGCTTTGGGAAGGGCACATTACGTGAGGGACGCCTGCACTCTGGAATCTTCGTACGTGGAATTGTCCAAACATCCCAACACAGGACCCTCCCAAATTAAGAGTCTTCAAGCAAGGCACTGATGAATAAATGCATTTACAACGGACGTTAACGTGTGCACTACAGCAGGGACGTGAGGCGCTTTTGTCAATGCGCTGCTGGATAAAGGCCCCTCCCCATGCTGTCAGTCGTGGGGGTTTTGGGTGCTGCACGTCACTACGCTGGTCACTGCAGCCTTGTGAAGGGACAGACAGCATTGGGGTTCAATGGCCCTGTAGCAATCCACGTCTTCTGGTTCTTGACGCGGTGCGCCAACAACGACGGCCACTGCTCTACCCGCACAGTGCAATATGCAGCGGCTCAAGCAGAAGCAGCTGGGTTCCGTAAGAACTATCACCAATCTGCTGCATTAGTCATTAATTTGAGAGTTAAAATTCAAGTGCACTCATGCTTTGGGTTACACACGAGTGCAATTACACCCAGAGCCAGAGGCACAGTACGGTTGGCATGGGCCCCGGCAAACGAATGCAATGCCACCCCCCCCCTCCCCCGCGTCTGATTTCAACCCCTCTTCGTAGCCCTGCGCCCCCGAGCCTTCTGGCACCATAGGCGCCAGTGCAATTGTACCGCCTGCACACCCGACAGCTACGCCACTGGCCAGAAGATGAACCACCCTGATAACGTTTCACCGGCACGGTTCACACTGCCCACCACCCCCCCGGGTACACAGGCACCCCCTCCCTCCCTCCCCCTCTCCTCCTCCTCCTCCTCGCCGTGGCCTCACCCAGCTGGTAGTAGTTGGAAAGGCCGAATCCGTAGACGTGGCCGTCGCGCGAGATGGCGAAGGTGCAGTAGGCGCCGCAGAAAACGTCAGCAAAGCGCAGCGCGCCGGTGCCCTTGAGGGCCTTGAAGCGCAAGGGCTGAGGCACCAGCAGGCGCTCTGCTCACGCGCGCGCAACAAGGGGAACGGGCACGGCGGTGCGCGTTCTGCTCAGCGCTGGTGCAGAGGAGACCCCGCCGGGCAGTCAGCCCTCCGTCAGCAGACGTCGCATTGTCGAGCACTTTCCTGACGGTGATGTGCGCCAAAAAGTCCGAGAGGAGAGCTATCCGTCTCAAGAGCCACGAAAGCCAGTCGCCCCGCTGCAGAATGGTCCTTCAGTCTGTTGGCTATAGATTACATCATCACAGGCCAGTCTAGAACTGAGACAATTAGGACTGGTTTCAAGTCGAGTAAATGTCGATAAACTGTAATCGACTAGAGTACGAGTGTTTTTGCTTCATCTGTCCAGCCCTATCCACAATGAACCCAGGCATAATCAAGAGCTCACTGTGCGTTTATTATGATTTTCTGCGCAGTGCCTAGATGACCTGGCTAAGGTCACCAACTCGTCAAAAACGAGGCCGGCTGCTCAGTGGAGAGGGAGAAACAGCAGAGACACACAGACGGGAGAGAGGAAAAATCGTTGAGAGTTGACCGCCAACGGAGATTCTAAAATTCGAGACGCCGCGCTCGCCATGCTTACCGAGGCCCCTTCTGCCGCCACGGGATGAGAAGCATTCTGGGACCCTTCCCAGCTGGCCCTGCTCCCCACAGCCCAGCGTGTAGAGGTCTCCGGACTGGGACAGCAGCACGAGGTGATCGTTACCTGGGTAGAGACGGGGGGGGGTGATGGGGCAGCATTGGGGCCACACGGCACGTGTCAGGGCCTCCTGACATACTCACGTCGACGATAACGTAGCGAAAGTGTTTATAGAGGCTTTACGCCCAGCATGCGTTCCTGAAAACCAAAATGTGAAATAAAAAGAACTACAATCGAATGAAAGAGATGGTATGGTGGATCGTAACATGGTACCTAAAAATCAGAGGATGCGCTCAGGAACCCATTGCCCATCTACACTGGACCACCATTGGTGTGAAAAGTGTATATTGTTGATATATTACCCTGTCGATTACACTATGTATTATTAGTTGTTTACGATACAAAAATAGTTTACACTTGACTAAAAATAGTTGGCACAAATGCGGCATGTGGGTAAATCAACATGAACGGGGTACGTGTACACACAAGACTACTGTAGTCAGGGGACGCTAACGCATGGCGCCACGCGGCGCTTGAATGTCGCCGTGCAGCGAAAAACATTTGGGTCTTCGCAGTAAAGTTCGTAAATCTTAAGTAGGTCATGGCGAGGTAGAGCCAAGGTACGTAAATCGGGATTGGGTGCCAGTAATTTGAGTACGTTAGAGCGAAAGTACGTAAAGCGGGAAGGGCGTATATCGGGATATGGGAACCATAGTGGCGAGATGTTAACTCCCTTGCCTGGTGTACAGGTCGTGGGTTCGATCCCACCCCTGAACCATGCTGTATGTTTGGAGTTTGTATGTCTCTCGCTCTCCCAGTGGTCGTGTGGATTTTTCTCCGGGTCCTCTGGTGTTTCCCTCCACAATTCTAATCGTGCGTTTTAGAGTATTTGGCCGCTGTAAATGTGCACGTGATGAACCACTTCGCTGAGCTACCAAATGTGGCCAGGTCGCTTCTGAAAAAAAAGCTATACACCTCAGTGGGCCTTAACTTGTAAAATAAATATAGCAGTATTACTTTACATCATCATTTTGTCAATAACGCGCTTCGGGATGAGGGCCTTCCCACACCTGTATGGGTTGTGGGGGTTGTTTGACCGTACTTCACCACGCTGCTCACCGAGGATTGGGTGAATGTGGGGAGCATAGATGTGGCAGTGGAGACAACGGTGGATTTCCCTGCGCTGCCTCGCCTCTGCGTACTACGTTGAAACCTCATATCCTGTCTTGGTGTAATGGTTTGCACACTGGCAATGCAGAGGTCGCCGGTTCGATCTCCAGGCACAGCAGTGGATATAACCCGAGCAAGTTTCCCAAATCCCCTCCACCCCCCCGCCAGCCGCTGTCCACCTACGGCAGAGTTGGGCAACCTGCAGCTCAGCAGCAGCACGCGGCTCTTTAAGGACTGCAGCGTGGCTCTCGAAATTCGGACAAAAATGGCTCTTCTTGTCACTTTGGTTGCCGACCACTGAACGTGGGAGTCCAGTTCACCGTGGGCAAGGGTCGGCAACCTGCGGCTCCAGAGAAGCACACAGCTCTCCAAGGACTCTTTCGTGATGTTATTTATTGAGGACCGTCTCGTATTCAGTCTCGTATTCACCGTCTCGTATTCACATGCAGGGGCAACTTTTAAAATATCGGGGGTTTGTTTTTTTTCTTCCGAATTTCTTCTCGTCTTGATTGCCGACCCCTGACCTAGGAGAATTAGTGAGTTCACCGCCGTAAGTCAATCGGCAGGTCGCGCGCGGTGCGGTAAACTGCACGCCCATCTCTTCCAAGACGTCTGTCGAGCGTGGAAGATTAGACCAAATACCCACTCGATGGGGCTCCCGAGAGCTTCCTCGAGCGGAGGCCCTTCTGTCAGCAGTTGCCCAGCAGTGGCCTGAGCGAGGCTGCATCTTTACCTGTTACCACAAACTTTGCCCAGCAAGGAGTGAACTTTGAGATGGGGGCGAAGAGCCTCTTACCGGACGCCACCTTCACGATGGGCGTCTCCAGGGGCAGGAGGGCCGGCAGAGGACACTTCTCCATGGGTTTCAAGAGGCCAATCACACCGTTGTTGTCCTGCAAAGCAAGCGCACACGTCCGAAAATTACAGGCAACTCTCGATTCTCCGCAGGTGGATTATCCGAGTGGTGGACAAAAAAAATCTTTCGCATGCACACCGGTTCACGAGTTGCTCCTCACTCACCAAAGGTTGGCTACTGGGTGCCCACGTGACTGCAAACGCCTCCGGCAAATAAACGGATTACTTTAAAAAGCAATAAAATTAGACTACGCATGCTACATCTTTACCCTTATTCTAAAGCCCAATTTGCATATTTTGCATTATCTCTGTTCGTGTTTCATCCAGGATACACCTTATCCCCCACCACCCACCGTGACCCGAGAATAATTGACAGTTGTGAGTTATAGAAAAAATTCTGTGCAGTCCATGGTGACCTGCCTAAGATGATTATCTAATTTTCATCTCAGGGTCACATATAAGCAAGGCTGGCTGCACCAGATGATTAATTAACATTGCCCGCAGCACTGGGCAATGCCTGCTTGTGTGTATGTGGGCTATGGAAGCGCCATACCCTAACTTGGCAGTGGCTGTGTGCGTGCGTGTGATGGATGAGCAACGAGATTGTGCATGTGTGATGGATGAGCGTCGAGTGTGCCCTAGATGAGCGTTGTACGTGTGTACGTGTGTGCGTGGTTGCCGAGTGTCATGCGTGTGGTAGATTGTTGTGTGTATGTACGTGTGTGTGTGTGTGTGTGGTGGATGAGTGCCATACGCGTGCGCGTGTGTGTGTGTGTGGCAGATGATTGTTGTATGTGTGCGTGAGGTTAGACGACCGTCGTGCGTGCTCACGCGTGGGTGCGAGATTGCTGGATTGGCGGCGTACCCGGAAGGTGCCCCACACGTAGACGCTGCCGCTCTGCGTGAGTGCGGCCGTGTGGCTGTCGCCGGCCGACACCTGCACGACGCGGTCGGCGAGCTGCACGACGCCGGCCACCGCCTCGTCCTCCTCCTCGGCAGTGACGCGGCCCAGGGCCCCCTCGTCGTTACAGCCAAACGTGAGCACCTGGCGGAGGGAGAGAGAGAGAGCGGCGGCCCGCCACCACCCCATCCACCATCATCATCATCATAATCTGCAGGAAAACTCTCGTGACCGCGGGACTTCGATCCGTTGTCTCGCAGCGGACAAGAGCTGCCGGCAAGCGAGGGCGAATTCATCATGTCTGTGGTGGTCGTTCCTAAAAGCTCCCCCGAATTGCATTTCACAATCCACCGCTCGGCCACCACCGGTACGCAAGCACACCAAGGGACTGTTAACGTACGTACGTTGAACTTCTTTCGCACTGTATGCAGTCATCAACCGCGCTAAATGGGAGGTTGACTAAATTCGCAAAGGGTTGCCGGGCACAACCGCCTATGAACATCATTGGGGCACCAGTCTGGCCGTCGTCAACACAGGACAAGCCCCGGGTGGGTGGGGGTGGGTGTGCTATAACTCGCAGATGCGACATCGCCACCCGTGCTAGACGAGATACTGCGGGATGAGGTCAATGGGACCGCCCTCCCACGCGGGTGACTGGCCGGGAGAGTTGCAGTGGAAAGACAAAAATTGGTTAAAGAAAAATAACGACAGTTGATTAGGGCTTTTTGAAAGGCGACTCTCTCTACTGGTGTGTTTGTTCAATAAATACTCAAAAAGCACAAACATGCTTTTTGGGTATTTAGCAGCTAAACGCTCAGGCAATCAGAATCTTTATTCATCCTGGAGGAATCCAATGAGCTATGAAGCTCGTTTTCACAGATGTCCAGGAGTGCAGTCAACTCTGAATTATCCTGGGTTATGGGCGGGGGAGGGGTGGCCCAATAAAACATAAACAATGATCATTAATAGGAAATGCAAATCACATATGTATTGTTTAACCATATAGGATGCATCTTCCACTTAATTTTTCTCAACGAAATCGGTTTGCTTGCCGACATGAGTTAGAATTGCCATGAACAAAAAGTAAATATTTTAAATCTCACAGCCAGGTAAACTCGTGCAACAACACAGCGGGGTCATAAAATTACGGGAGTAACACCACACTTAGACAGGTGCCCTTGTGCATGGGGTAGCGAGGGATAACTATGCAAAGCTGGAACCTGTAAGTAAGCTGTAATTTGTAGAAAGCCAGAACCGATGGCAGGCTGGAATCTGTGGCAAGCCAGAACCTTTTGGAAGCCAAGACCTGTGGCTTGCCAGCACCTCTAGCAAGCCAAGACTCATGGCTAGCCAGAACCTACAGCAAGCTGCAATTTATGAGAAGCCAGAACCCATGGCAAGCCAGAACCCGTCACAAGCCAGAATTTATTCCAAGACAGAATTTATGAGAAGCCGGAACCCATGGCAAACTGGAGCTTGCTGCTCGCCGGAACGTGCGGCTAGCCGGAACCCGCGGGGGCTAGCCGGAACACGGAAGGCAGGGCTGTGTTGTGGAGGCGTACGTCCGCGCGGTGCACTCGCCTGCCCGCTCTCGGTGAGCACCACCGTGTGCATGCCACCGGCCTCCGCCTGCACCGCCTTCTCGGAGAGCGGCACAAGCGCTGGCCGCTTGCGCTCCGTGACGGCCGAGCCCAGGCCCAGCTGCCCCACGTCTCCCTCGCCCAGCGCCAGTACCTCCCCGGGGCTGTGCGCGTGCGACGGGTGCGACACTGGTGGTCCACGCGCGTGCGCACACATACACACAAAAACGCGCACGCACATACAAACAAACACGCACACCGAGATCAAGGCAGGCACGACACACGAGGGGGTGGGTGGCCACCGTCACGCCCAGCCGCGTTTGTCTCCCGAGTAGAAACGTTTTGACACATCGTACGAGGTATTGAATTGAGGCCGAGTGGACTTAGGGGAAGCCCAGGACCGGTTCAGATAATATTCATTGGTGTTGGGCGTGAGCGCCATAAATTGTGCACACACAGACACTAGAGAGAAGGGCATCAATACAACTATAAATCTCTATTCAAATGTTAAGCAAGAATGCCTTGCTTCGTCAGGAGATTCATGATTACAATGTGTAGACAATTCCTCGTTGCATATTCCTTAGTGTGGCAGGAAACCTGGGCGCCTACAGCGAGCGCACAGGTAGAGTTTGGAGTTTTAACACGTGTAAATGCCACCGCAGCTCAAGGACCCCCCCCCCCCACAGAAACATTGTGCACATTTATTTTAAATAGAGAGAGGAAGTCGGTCATAGGCAGAGGAAATAAGCAAAGGAAGCTCTTGAGCCCGGACTTTCGTAAGGCAGGGGAGTGGACTTCACAGATTGGTGGTGGAAGGGAATTCTATATTGTGGGGGGGCAGCGGAGGAGATTGAGCGACATTCCCTAGTGAATGTTGCCTGGAGGTTTGGGGGCTTCACACAAGGCTTCCCGTAGAAACCTACTGCCATCAATTACATTTTCCACAAGGCACGGCTCGGCTTTCTCTATTAATGTGGCGGCATATATTAATAGCAGTAGGTCTCGTGGCTTGGGTCTACAGAGACAAGGATGAACAACAAACGCGGCCCACGCACACCAGCAGTGCACCTACCAGGGATTTAAGTATTTTCCCCCGGGGAGACGATAAAATTGCACGCGCGTTTCAGGTCACCGTCGCACCGCCATCATTAGGTGAAAGGTCGACGCTTCACGAGAAGCACGTGCTCATTGCGCGCGCCCTTCGTTCAGCTCGCGGAAAGAGGGGTGGTGTTGTGTTTTAGCAACCGAGGACACCGCTTATTTAAGCGTCCGTCCCATACTGTAGCTAGGTTAGACATCCATTAATATGGCACAGGCGGTGAGCTGGCCGCAGGGTTTAAAGCATCTGACGAATGCCTGCGTGACCACCGATGGAACATTGTCGACATTCAGCGCCCCCCCCCCGTGACAGCTCCCACACTGACCAGAAAACCTGACCAAGCGACGCTGCTCAAATAAACGCTCACGTGAAATAAGGTTGGTAATCCATTGTTTTAGATAGTTTTTTTTTACTGGATCCATTTCTGAATGCAATGATCGATTCTAATAATCAAGGAATGAAATAATTGAATCCAGCAATTTTTGTTGCAATAATTGAACAGACATGCAGGCACGGACGTTCAAACTGCACCGTGTTCCAAAGTGGATGGTCACGTAACAAACCATTTCATACAATATATACCACATTCGCCAGATTGTAAGACCATTTTTCTTCAATATTCTAAAGCAAAGGTTGGTATTGCGTCTGCCTTATAGTCCGGTGTAGCCTGAAATCTGGTGCCCGTACATGGAAGTTACAACTGCGCTCAGCGTCCGACCAACTTGCCACCCACGTCTATGTCACCGTCAACAACACCACACAGTCTATGGACCACGCTGTACATACGTCATACGGTCTAAACGCCGCTCAAGCCTAAACGTCACTCGGTCCGCAGAACGGATTTTAGGAAGTGACTGGAGAGGAAACATTTTTACCAGTACTGTACACAAATCACTTATGCAATTTGCTTTACTTTTCCATGTGAAGACACACAATGGGCGTTCTGCCAATATATTTGAATCTGGCTTGGGGCCGAGCAGGGCCACGTGTGGGTGTAATGTCGCATTCATTGTGGGCGACGTCAGTCGGCACACTATTGAGGGCAAAGCATTGCCACGTCGTCTTGTGCGCGTTCCCGCTCGTTCATTGCGCTCGACATCAACGGCACGGCTCGGGTTTTGCAGTGGAAAAACAACCCGGCCCTTCCCGATCCGCGCCGGGGCCGCGTTGGCACGGCGCCGGCATGGCTCAGGTGAACAGTGGAAAATAGGAATTAAAGAGTCCCCAACAAGAAGGTTGTTAGCAGGTGGGTGCGTGGGTTTCTCTCACCTTTTATCTTCTTGGCATCCGTGTGCTCAACCGAGTTCTCATTTTTGGGCAACTCCCTCTTGAGGGACGGACGTCCCCGCTTGCCAGGCATGCTGGCCGTGCCGCTCCCAACGCTCACCTGTGGACGTGATGGGAGATTGGCCTCACTCACACAGCTGCTGCCATCATCCGGTGCATTGTGTCTCCAGCTCTCGCTCGTGTACGAGCACCGCGAAACGCGTGGCACGAAGAAGGCCGTGTTGGAAGCTATCACAGCAACACCGTAGAGGAACACACAACAGCCAAAATTGAGACTAAAATTAAACGGTAGTTTGTTTATGCATGCGTACATGTACAGCCCTTGTGTCACCCCGCTGCTGAATGAGGGCCTCCCTATGCCGTGTGCAGGATGTGGATGTTATTTTGCCATACTGGTCAGAGCGGATTGCAAACGGGGAGCATACACAAGAAAACAGGTGGAGAGTACAATTGATTTTGCTACACTGTCCTCTGCTGCCCACCCACATAATCCTGCAGTCGATGAAAGGAACAACTTTGTTCACGTGGTGACTCATTCAAGCACTATCCATGGCCAAATCTCCCAGAATGCTCCTGATCTCGTCACAACTGAAAGGAAACACTCTTTCATTAACAGAGCTATTTTGAGGATGGTCCTGCCAGGTTTTTGCAGTCGGGGTCGATGTTCCGATTTGTAATAATACAAATCGAGTCATTTGCAGGTCGTTTTTCGGCATTGAGATGTTTGGCCAAGCCCAGTTTACACTGGCATGTATAAAGGGCGTCCGAAAATGAATACACAGGGGGGGGGGGTCCCTGATATACGTCACCACGACGTACGTTGTCAGACATTTTTTGGGGGGGAACGCAACGTAAAATGTCCCCACACATACGCCGTTACGTCGTTTTCGACTCGGTTCAGCTTAATATAGAAAACGTACAACTCGCATTTTGCGCATAGGTATTGTTTACGCACTTACGGTCCCCCTATCCCCCCCCCACCCCATGTTCATTACTTTTTGTATAGGGGAAAAGTCCCCGTTATACATTGTTTCGTTATAAGTATCAACTCATCGGTCCCTAAGCCCGATGTATATCCTTGCCTGGTACGCATGGCCAGGTCGCTTCTGAAAAATAAGTTAATGGCTCAGTGGGGGCCTTATCTAGTAAAATAAAATATAGTTTTATTTGTATATATTGTTTCAAGCAATTCGTTTACCTTGCCTATAATTTGCACTCCTATCGTGTTTTTGTATTGTTTATTGTTGAATTTGCTCTCCAACACACGGTTGTTCTGTACTAGTAATGAATTGGCACGTTCTGTTTACGCATTTTACGGGATAACCCAAAAAAAACTATGGATATTGGTCGCGAAAGCCTACGTATTAAACTGTCTTTTTTATCTTGTGTTTATATATTTTTGCAACATCAATAACATTACAAGCTGAACATGTATTCGACTGAGTAAGCATGGCAATAACGGAGATTGCGCACTCACTGGACACTGTTTCCAGGGGGAATTGTACGGTCGCTGTTAATTCTACATTCCTTTGCCAGGGCCCAGTCTCCCCGCGTCGAAAACAAGAACTTCCCGCATGAATCCTTGCAGTCACAACAGCTTTAAATCGAAATTCCCCCCATGAAGTTAAGCCAGATGCGCCGTACCTCTCCTTGCACAATACCTCTGGTGGGCAGCCACGAGTTTTAACAAAACGAACCCAGCCATGTAATGCTCCTGCAAGGAGCCCTCAAAGTGAGCGATGGAGATGACCGAACATGCAGGGAACTAGAAATGCTCTGCTGCTAGGTAGAAAATGTTCCCCTCTAGTTCCAGCACTTGATTGGTGTTGATACGTAAACATAGTTTGTTGACCTAATAATGTGGCCCGGGGGCCGAGTTAAATGAATTTCTGTCCTGCCGGGCCGGCCCGTAGGGTTCTCAAAACGGTGGAAGGCGATTTAGTGAGCGCACGGCAGTGCGACATTTTCCATCTCATTCCCGTAAAACTCTCCAATGAAAGTTCTTCGGTGATTATGTTATCGGTGGAGGTGCCTTGGCAACTTAGGGCAAGACGATGCAAGTGAAATGGCCTTGAGCAGCAGCAACAGCTGGCGCCGCACCACGTGGTGGTATCACAAAGAGCGCCCTTGTGTGAGCTTGCCCCGTTGCTGCGTTAGACCCGTGCATCGCTGGCCCAGCAACAAACCAAAACCAGACAACTAAACTATTTATTTCATAAGGGAAGGCTTACTGAGCTACATAGAGCTTTTTTTTCTTCCCATACGCGACCTGGCCACAAATGATAGCCCAACGAAGTGGCTTACCACGTGCAAAGTTGTAGCGGCTAAATACACTACACCCATGTCTTTATGTGTGCAGGGGGATAAACCGGAGGGACCTGAGAAAAATCCACGCGACCACGGGGAGAGAGAGAGAGACACGCAAACTCCAAATACACCGCAGCAGGCGCCAGGGTCGGGCTTGAAGCCCACGAGCACCTTGCGTACCAGGCGAGGTAGCCACCACTCACTGTTGTTGTATTACCCTGCAGCCTCACAAGCGTTTGCTCTAGAAGGGAGGTTTCGCCTGCCTCGTTCATCGTCGTCAGCCATGGTCAATCCACTGCTAGATGACGGCATCGCCTTCCCCCCAAGCCGTCACAACCTCTCGAGGTGCTGCGATGTTAACGACCCCAATACAGTTACCGGCAGACGAGCAGATTTGTTGTATAGAAGGGTGTGTTAACCATACGGGAGGTGTGCTCGCGTGCATGTTGTGAGGAGTGTACACCTACTCCGTGTGGCAGGGGGGGGGGGTGTGTCTGTGTTAAGCGTGAGGGTTGCGAGTGTGTAAGAGCGGTGGCGAAGCGGTTAACCAGCTCGGCGAGCCGAGTTAAGATTCCCGCTCACGGCCAGACGCCAGCGACGAACATTTGAACCGGTCCCGGGCCTCTCCTCGGTCGACTCGACGCAAAATGAGTTGAGCACCGGGGGAGACAAAGGCGGTCGGCGCGTGGTGATCAGCCACCGACCCTCCGTGCTTTGCCTCACCGGAACACCGTTCGTGCTCACAGCATTTGCTCCAACAGGCTTACTGAAGGCTTTCGCGGGGGACCTTCGTCTGTGTGCTCCGTGTGGACCCGGCTCCACGTGTCGCCTGCGACAAGGCCGCGCGCCGCTCCCGCCAAAGGAGGCAGCAGTCGCCTCGCCTCGCCTCGCCCGTTCTCATCCCTCGCCTAGTCGCAGCCCTCTCACCTGGCGAGCCTCACCTGAGAGGCGGGTGGAGAAGGAGATAGGAGGAGGGACGCGGGATCTGTTGTTGTTTGTTGTTGTTGTTGCTGCTGCTGCTACCACCGCCGCCGCCGCCGCCGCTGCTCCCGCTCATTCATTGCGCGCCGCGACCTCTGAACTCTCAACCCGGACGCGAATCTCGACACGTGCCGCACACCACGTGGGTGCGGGGGGGGGGTGCCAGGGGGGAGGGGACGCGGGGATTGGAGGGGGGGGGCACGGAAGGTGAGGAGGGGGAGCTCGTGGGTGGGTGGGGGAGCTCGTGGGTGGGTGGGGTGGGGCTACTGGGTGGGTGGGGGGGGGCTCGTGGGGTGGGGCTCGTGGGTGGGTGGGGGCACGGGGAGCATGGTGGATGGAGGAAGGCGTGGAGGGTGGGGTGGGGGCTCGTGGGTGGGTGGGGGGGGCTCGTGGGTGGGTGGGGGGGGCTCGTGGGTGGGGCCGGCAGGGGGCGCTGTGCTGCCACTCGCGTGCGATCACCCGCGGGAGGCGTGGTGGGGGCTACGGTGAGCTGTCGGGGGCGGTAGCGAGGTGGCAGCGCTGACCCCAGGGCGAGGTTCCGAACGGGATTGTCGGCGGTCATGATGAGCCGCTGGGTGGTGGTGGTGGAGTGGAGTCAGTAGGGTCACAATTCTGGGCCGGATGAAGATTGTGTGGGCCTCTGGGCTACAGGTACTCTGTGAGGGCCCCCAGTAATATTTTCAAAAGGAAAAAAAGTTGAAGAATATTTTTTTTAAAAATGTCTCTTTACAGGAATCCATTTCACGACGTTTCGAAAAAAAATAATCCAGCAGTAGAACTGCTAATAAGCTTACTCGCTATGATGTTAAACATTTACAGTAAAATCTTGGATCGCGAGCATAATTCGTTCCGGAAACGTGTTTTGTAATCCAAAGCACTCGTATATCAAAGCACTCGTACATCAGTTGTGATCACGTGACGCTCGGCAGACAACGCGTAGACACGTGCTACTGGTGTTGCAAGACCCTCGCTCGTTTATCAAATTAATATTTTATTTTAAAAAAATTTGCTCGTCTTGCAAAACACTCGCAGACCAAGTTACTCGCAATCCCAAGGTTTTACTGTACATTAAATTCGTGTTAAACTTAGTAAAACTTTGCAGGCAACATATGTCCAGCGTTTTTTCTCCTTTCGTGTGGCGGATTGGCAGTGCCCCTCGATCGTTCCATTTATGCAGGAAATATCCGCGCCTTCCATGCGTCTTCACAGTAAAACATGACTACGGGATTACATTGCAACACTTGAATTCCATTGCAATAAACTTCATCTGGTCTGACCACGAAAGTTGCCCGCATTCGATCAGCTTCCAACAACACATTGGCATTCGTGAGTGCCATGAATTTTATATATATATTTTTTACCAGGTAAGGCCCACTGAGTTATAAAGCTTTTTTTCAGAAGCGACCTGGCCACATTTGGTAGCTCAGTGGTTCGTCACGTGCACATTTACAGCGGCCAAATACTCCAAAACGCACCATTCTAATTGTGGAGGGAAACGCCGGAGGACCCGGAGAAAAATCCACGTGCCGACAGAGAGAGCACACCAACTCCAAATAGACAGCAGGTGTCAGGGTCGGTGATCCTACCCGCGACCTCCTGTATACCAGGCGAGGTAATTAACATCTCATAGCCACCGTGAAGAGAGAGGGGGACGACACGGGCACGACGAGGAACGGCAGACACGCAGGGAAACAGCCGCGCAACGAGCCGGCACCAACAAATTGAGTGTTTACAAATATGCAGCAGGCTGCTCAGGGTCGTGCTCGAACCCACGCGCCCCTTCCATGCCAGGGCAAGGCAGGTTAACGTCCCGAATTATCGGGTAGCAAGGGGGAGGGAGGGAGGGTGGCACTGTTGGCGCTGCCCTTGGGGAAACACGCAGGGCTTAGGGGCCTCCGCCTGGCTGAATGAGTGGAACCCACCTCCCTCACCCCCAGCAGCTGCGAGCCATTGGCCGAAGGGGGAAGAGACGCGTGGGAGGTGGAGAGTTGGCTGTGGGGTGGCCGGAGGCGTCACGAGCCTCGGGTCAACTTTCACACATTTACGGCCGTGTTTTTGCCGCGCACATTGCAAGCCAGCCGGCTCCTCCCGTTTCAGACGTGGGTAATTCCTCCCAGCCTACCGCGACGTTGCCAGCCCGCGAGCACTGATTCAGGGACCAGCCCGACTTTGCTGACGAGGCGCCGAATGTCGAAACCGGTGCCGCAGAGTGTTGCTTGCGCTGAACCGGCCGCTGGAACGACGCGCTCGTCAACAAGTCCGTGTGGCGGGTGGGGATGTGTATAGATGAAACTGCTTATTCATCATGGGAGTGCTTTTATGTTGCTTTCTGCGGGGGGACAGGCATGGCGAGAGAGCGAGGGGAAGAAGCCACGCTGTCGGTCAGCGTATTCACCTTGCAGCTTAACGTTCCCCCGTACCGACGCCAACGGTTGTTGTGTATCTCGTGCGCGTGTGGCTGCTGTGGCTGCTGTTGTTGTTGTGTGGCCAGAGACGAGACGGAGCGAACGCGCGAGGCAGCCCTGCGATGAGGCTGCTGCTGGCCGAGCCGGAGTTCATCATCGGCGCCGTCTTCCTCCCGGGCTGCCTGCTGTTGGCCCTGCTCATCCGCGTGTGCATCCTCCTCATAGCGCACGGTACCCACAGCTCCCCACGGCGGCATCAGGGGCCGTCCATAAATGACGTCACGCATCTAGGGGGAAGGGGGTTTGAGAAATGTGACGTCACATCAAAATGCGCAACTTTAAATAAGTGTAGACAACACGTTCTACTTAATTAAATAGGCTTGTTAATAAATGTTTTCTCCTACAACATCAGAGTGAGTGCAGCGCCACATTAAATATGCACTACAATGACAATAGTTTAAAGCGATTTGAAGCATGTTTTATATTTTTTTAGGGGGGGGGGTGGGTAGAGCTTTGTGACGTCATATTTGAGGGGGGGGGTCTGACTTTTTGTGACGCCGTGTGTCGAGGGGGGGGGGGGTCAAAAATTGCCCAAAATCGCGTGACGTCATTTATGGACGGCCCCTTTACAGTTGAGGGAACTCCAGTTGAATAACTTTATCCGGACTTGAAACTACATCAAATAACAAAAATAAGATAAAAATGCGACATCCAATCATTCAGATATAATATAAATGTTTACTATAGCCCTCCACCACCTTACGGAGCCAAACAAATCAAGTTGTCACGTGGGAAAATCTGCCCATCGATTGAGTTTTATCAGCAAAACTAGAGGAATAATCTTGATTGAAACTTTCGTGACTGCAGGAATCCATACTCTTTGGTTCTTTCGGTAAAGTCACGTGGGTAGGTATAAAATGAAATAAATCACGACGTTTCGGGCGCAACACAAGCATCCATCATCAGGTGGGATGTTGACATCTCTGTTGCCAGTTAGGAGCAGTTGCACAGCCAATTCCTTGCAGTAGAGACACGCTGTCCTCATGCGATCTGCTCAGCAATTTGTGGCGACGTACTTCATCACGCGCTGCACATTTGCGATCACTTATTTGGTCGTTATAATCCCGAATGCGCGATTATTTTATTTCCTCGTTGCGCAACTGCTTGCTTCGATGCGGACAAAGCAGCCGCAGGTGATGAAGTATTTATCATTCAGAATCAGAGATACAAATGAATATTCTGATTCTGAAAAATAAATATTCTGAATTTGCGCGATTTCGAGAGCGATGATCGCTCAGCCAAGGCAGTTGGCGTGACTTCACGGCTGGAAAGGAGGGTCACGATTTCTCCCGGCGTCGTGCCGCCCTTACCCAGAGGAGCCTCCGGCCGAGCCGCGCCCTGGGCTTGCGCGGGCGCTGGAGCTGGGCTGCGAGCTCATCCTCGGCACCGGCGCGGAGGCAGCGGAGCGCGGCGGCGCCCTCGTGAACGACGCGCTGGGCGGGTGGCTCACCCCGGCTCACGCGAGCAACCCGCGTAGACGTGGCCGGATCGTTTACCTACAGGCACGCACGCAGATACGCGCGCGCACGTGCAGACAAAGATCCCCCGTGTAAACTTTACAGACTTGTCGGGGCAAGTGCTATTTAGCGAGCACCTATGAGGGCCGGCACGGCACACGAGGGGGTGGGTAGCCAGCACCGCGCCCGACCGCCTTTGTCTCCCCAGTGGCGATGTTTACACGCAGCACTAGGTGCTCATTTGAGGCTGAGTCAACCTAGGGGAGGCCCGGGACCGGTTCAAATATTCACCACTGTTATTGGTCATGAGCGGGATTCAAACTCGGGCCGCGGGGTTCAGAGCGCAGTGCGCTATTGCACTACCGCTCCCCATACACGCCCATGCGGGCACACACACAATTCTGGCAAAATCACCCGATGATACTGGACGTAATTACCAGCGAAACGTCGTACTGAAATTGAAAATGTCGTGGATTTACTCTCCCAACGCACCAGTGGTCTGAAGTAGTTACAAATCGGCACATTTTGCTTAAGTGACAAACCTTACTGGTTGGCTGTGGCGGGTTAACGATACATTTATTCTTACGCGATCTAACCCAAGAACCTTTACTATTAATAATATTGGTCAGGAAAGTCTACGTGGCACACACACAGCCTGCATTCAATGCACACCCATGCAGTCCACGTCAACGTATCCCAATCACAATCCTCGAGACATCAACAGGCGCAGTACGGCAGGTGCTATAGGCTTGGCGCGGGGCTACGTTGTTTGCAATGCAGCAAACATCCATTGTTGTACCCAACTTGTATACTCCCGCATCTTTGCCCGCCGACTTCACCAGCCTGGACACGGACTCTTGTGGGGAATTACGGTCGAATAACGCCCCTATGAAGGCACTCATTCAGCAGTGGGGCTGGTCAAAGTCCTCGATACTTTACGGACAGTGCAAATCTACTGCACATGTTGTCTAGTATTCTTTGGTTCTTTGGGTAAAGTCACGTAGGTGAACAAATAAAATAAATTAAATCACGACGTTTCGATTGCAACGCAAGCAATCGTCATCAGGTGTGACAACCACAGCAAGACATATATATATATTTTTTTCACCTACGTGACTTTACCGAAAGAACCAAAGAATATGGATCCTTGTGGTCACGAAAACTTCAAATCTAGAATGTCGTCTCGTGTCTAGGACGCTCGTTAGTGCCGAACCAATGGGTGTGTGAAGGTTGAATGACTATTCAAACACAACGA